AGTATAAATTCAATTAAGAAACCTTTCAATTTGGGACAGTTTTTTGATTGGTTACCCCCCAAAGACGCAAGGCATTATGGGGAGGTGAGAGTAGAGAATAGCACATTCTGAGAGCCTCGATGCGCTTTACAGTAAGATAATTAAAAATAAAATTTATATCTATTATATATATAAATATGTCAGAATTTWAAAAAAATTTTCTTCCAAGTTCTGCATGAAAAAGTACTTCGGAAAACCGAAATATACGCCTTTTTAGAGCTATAAGAGAGTATTGAAGTTTTTATGATGTTTTACTTGTCAAAATATTTAGATGACATCATCATGATGAGCGCGTGCGCATTAGATTCATGCGTAGACAGGATGCGCGCGAACAATACCCATGAACGTCCTTAAGACATTATCGAATTTGGTCCATAAAATTATGACTTGAGAATGTAACGCAATCTCTACACAACCCCCAAGGATTTCATCAACTCAAAGTGTTAGAAAGTACAGTAACCGTTTTTAGCTCGTGAAGAGCTATTGGGGTGGCTAGAAGTGAGAACATGGGTTGTAAAAATTGCTATATTTTGGTAGACTTGATTTGGAATTAGCTTAACGCTACTTGCTCTTGAATACTTTATGAAAATTGTGCTTGATAAGAAAAATACATGTTCCCACTTTTGACCTCTTGAGGCTGTCCCTAGACCAGTAGCGCGGAACTCTTGATGCATGTGACACGAGTGAAAAACGTCTGCGCATGCTCTGAATCCGTATGCGAATTAGTCAAAACATAAGTAAATTTGAGTTATAAACATGACTAATTCTTTCATATTGTGTTTGTTAATACAATATTTTGGTCTGACAAAAGTATACTCGCTAAATGTTTTGTATACTTGGGGAAAACAAACATTTATTTTCTCACTAAAACTCTTCAAAATTCTTAGCAATCTCGTACCCAGAGCCTGCGTTTTTTCTTGCCTGCGGCAAAGAACGAGGGCTCTGGCATAATCCATATTTTGGCGCATGCGCAATTTTCGGAAAGTGAGATATAAACGGTCAAAATAAGCAAAGTAAAAATTAAACCGAAGTCAAAATCAAAGTCAAAATCATTAAAAATCGGGGGRAAAAATATTTTTAATTTTTGGCAAGTCTTTGAACGCGTGCGCTGTTATACCGGAAGTCCAAGAAATCCTGGTCTCMAAAAATGGATTATGCCAGAGCCCTCGTTCTTCAACGCAGGCCAGAAGAATCGCAGGCTCTGGGTACGAGATTGAATTCTTAGAAAACGTGCTGAAGTGCACGCATGCGCAAACGTTTTTTCTCTGGTGTCAATGCATGTATAAAAGTCAGAGGGATAATAACCAAGAATAAACATGAGCAACCAATTTCATTCAGATTTCTATATTTTATTTTCCATCGGCCTTGTCTCCAGCCGGTAACATTGATTTACATCACATATAAGGCTACGTGCATTATTGCCACCAAGGAAACAGGCTTGTTTATTAGTATCATTCTGGAAATAGATAAAACACAAAGTTATGGTTGGTTAAATAAATGGATAGATGAGATCAGAGGAGAGGAGAGGAGAGGAGAGGAGAGAAAAGAAAAGAAGGGAAGGGAAGGGAAGGGAAGGGAAGGGAAGGGANAAAGAAAAGAAGGGAAGGGAAGGGAAGGGAAGGGAAGGGAAGGGAAGGGAAGGGAAGGGAAGGGAAGGGAAGGGAAGGGAAGGGAAATGAAGAGAAATGAAGAGAAATGAAGGGAAGGGAAGGGAAGGGAAGGGAAATGAAGAGAAATGAAGAGAAATGAAGGGAAGGGAAGGGAAGAGAAGAGAAGAGAAGACGAGATGAAGTTAGTGATGTATGATGTAGTGCATGTATGGCCATATTTTTCCAATTCCAAGCTAGAGTATTATAAAGGTTTTGCACCATCACGTGTCCAAGGCCAATATAACGGCTTGGGCTGCTTGTGGTTAGATGGCAGAACAATAAAATCCCTTTGCTCTTGAGAATTTTGTTGTTTCTCATGTATAACGATTATATTGTTCCTGCCATCAAACATGGCTACCGTCAGTTGGTAAGAGCGTTGGACTGTTGTGCGGGAGGTCTTGGTTCAAGCCTCAGCCAGACCAACACTCAGGGTCTTAAAATAACTGAGGAGAAGGTGCTGCCTTTGTAATTACATCTGCAAATGGTTAGACCTTCACGTGGCTCGCATGATCACGTTAATGGCGGTCTCGTCCCTAATTAGCTAGAGACGTTAACAGAGGACCACAAGTTTATCAGTTGAATTACTGTAAAGTGTTATCCTCTATAAACAAAGTTAATTTATTTTATTTATTCATGGTGCAAAACCTCTATTTTCTTTAATTAATGATCGCATATGAGAAGGCATGAATATGGATACAACTAAGAACAAAAATCTTATTCTCTGGAGAATGAAACAAACAAAAATTACGCCCAAGCTAGACAAAAGAGTAAAAGTATAATAGATAATAGAAAGAATAAGTAACATATGATATTTAACGTTAGAATTTCCCWAGAGTGCTTCTTCATCAACTGAATTTCAATGGAGTAAATCCAGTTGGGCGTAATATTTTGCTCATTTCAGACAACGTTTCATTCCCTTGAGAATAAGATTCTTTATTTGAATTGTATCCAACTTCATGTGTCTTCTCATGCGCAACCATTAAACAAAGAAATGATACTCTAGGGAATGACACGTGGTCTGAAATGGGAAAACAGTGGATTAGTTCTGCTGGGCCCGGTTGTACAAAGGGTGGAATAGCGCTATCCGATGGATACATCCTTATCCAGTGGATAAGTCGATGCTTTTATCCAATAAATTTTATCCACTGGATAAGATTTATCCGTCGGATAGCGCTATCCACCCTTCGTACAACCGGGCCCTGGAGTTAAGAAGATGATTAGGATGAGGAAGGAAAAGCCGGAGAACCCGAAAGAAAAACCCTCGAAGCACAGGAGAGAACCAAAATGCAACTCTACTCGATCACATACGACACCAAGTTCGGGAATCGAACCAGGGTCGCCTTGGTGAGATCTCTCACCTCTATCGCTACGATAAATGAATCTATCAATACAATATGCATTACCAACTCTAACGGTGAACTTTACGGTAGTAGATAATCCATCTGGCGTTCGCACGGTACATCTGTACGCCCCAGCATCTCGAGCAGTTACGCTTTTAATATACATATACCCTGTTCCTTCGAGGTTTTTATTGAAGAACTCGTTTTTCCCAAGTCTTCTGTCATTTGTATTGAACTGTTGTGGTAAGTTCCAAATGACACTCGTTCCTTTCGGGGTGTTCTTCGTAAATATGAGGATTACAGCTGTATCACCGCTATTCACCGTTACCCTGTGTTGTAGTAGACTTACCATTGGAGATTGAGATCTAGGAGAGGGTACTAAGAGAATAAAGGAAAGAGTCTGTTAAATATGGTGTTAAAAATGGCATTTAATACTATATTTATTTTATTCGCGTTCTTGTAAAATAATCAATCTCATATTATCTCATTATACATCATGCATTTTCCTATTTTTTTTGAATGATACAATTAATAATAACAATTAATAATAGTTCGAATAACGACGTTTCGGTGTCCAAAGGAAATTGAATTTTCTTTAAACTACATTTTTAAAAAGTAAAATTAAATACTAATYCCAAAAAAGAAATGAAAAATGGGGTGTCCCGAGCTTGTTTTCAACATCAGTATTTAACGGATGCCTACGATCGAGCCGGCATTGGAAGCAAAAATTGCGCCACCGGAAGTGATGAGAACATTTTACAGCTCACGAGATAAAAGTTCTTTACAGACTCTATAATTGCAAAAATGCCTGGTAGTGAATCATTTTATGAAAATACTGCCTTCCAACCATCCACCCATCCATCCATTCATCCACCCACCCATCCATTCATCCACCCATCCACTCATCCACCCATAAATTCATCCATCCATCCATCCACTCATCCACCGATAAATTTATCCATCCCTCCATCAATCCGTCGATCCATATACTTACTCAATGGTCGTACGAAAACTATCTTCCTATCATAGCCAGCCCTATTGCTGGCTACACAATAATACACTCCATCATGTTCCCTCGAAATATTGCTGAATACCAGTTCAAGCCCTTTAGCGGTCTTCTTTTGGGTGACGAATTGCGGCATCTTCAAGACAGGTTGGGGACTTTCCTCTCCTCTTTTTGTCCAGGACAATACAGGATTTGGGTTACCTGTGGCACTGCAATCGATCACCAGGCGACTGCCAAGCTGGGGTTTGAATATGTGGCGTCCAGCAGCAATGATAGGAAGGGCATCACCAGGGGCTGAGTGTCAAAAAAATGAATTAATTTTCCAAAACTAGCATTGATCATCGCTTTTATCACTGTCAAGACCTCTATAGCCCCGTTTACATTGACGATTTTTGCGGCGATTTTTGTGGCAATTTTCGGAAATATGAAATCTTTTGTCTCATCCTTCAAAAGAGACGTTCGTCTAGGAAAATCTTGGTATCCTGAAAAAACTTTACAAGTAAATTCTTTACCATTATTTATTATGGACAATATCGCAAAAAAATCGCAACAAAAATTGCTAGTGTAAACGGGGCTTATAAGTACTGTTTGATAAAACGAGTTATAGAGTGTTTCAGGTTTAAAAGCACGAGGTACAGCTGAGTAGGTTTAGACCTGATAAAACACAAGCTACTAGTTTACCTAGTTTACTAAACAGCTTTAAAAACTCATGAATTATTCATACGTCTTTAATCCAATTGGGGCGATTTTTACAAACATGGAGTTTTATACTTTGACAGGGTTTGTACATCATTGTCATGCGCAGTGAGTCCAAAAAAGGCTGTTGCAATGACACGAGTRAAAAACGTCTGCGCATGCTCTGAATTCGTATGCAAATTACCAAAAACATATGTAAATTTGACTTTCAAACATGCCTGATAAATATGAATTCACAAAAAAGTGCCAAAACTTAGTGTCCATGCTTGAAACTTAAGGCTAATTCTTTCATATTGAGTTTGTTAATACAGTATCTTGGTGTGACAAAAGTATACTCTCGAACGCTTTTGTATACTTGGAGAAAACAAAAATTTATTTTCTCACTCAAACTCTTCTAAATTCTTTACAAAACGTGCTGAAATGCACCCATGCGCAAACATTTTTCTCTCGTATCGTTGCAATACAATCTCGTACTCAGAGCCTGCGTTTCTTCTGGTCTACGGCGAAGAACGAGGGCTCTGTCATAATCCATTTTTTGGCGCATGCGCAATTTTTCCGGAAGGGAAATATAATCAATGAAAATGATGCTTTCAAACAGAGATCTGTTTTTACTTACCATCAAAATAAAAATTAGAAATCGGAAAGATATTTTTGAATTTTTGGCAAGACCTTTAACGCATGTGCCTTTATACCGGAAGTCAAAGAAATTCTAGTATTCAAAAAATGGATTATGCCAGAGCCCTCGTTCTTCGCCGCAGGCCAGAAGAAACGTAGGCTATCGGTTCGAGATTGTATTGCAAGTTGAAGACAGCATAACGGACAAAACTAAACGAGGTTTTGTAGGTCGGCTATGATCGTACTCGAGACTGACCTTGATAAGGCTCTAAGCCATCATTTAAATTTGTTTCAACGTTATCTCTTGAAAGAAGTCATTCTCTCTAGTATTCTTTATGTAAAGGCTAATGATGAAGAAGACTTTATGCATGTGGCGAGTATGGTCGGTCCAATTGGATCAAAGACTTATGAATAATTCATGCGATTTTGAACCATATATATCGCAATCAATATCATGAACCATTAACATCTCTAACCTTTGCACTATCATCACGACAATCACAAACAGCATCATTCCATCATCATCAACCATCTTTATGATCAATATCATCAACGTCATCATCATCAACCATCTTTATGATCAATATCATCAACGTCATCATCATCAACCA